TTAGTAGATTGTGTAATTTCATAGCACCACAAGCCCCTGTTCAGGTTAGTAGCGGACTAGAACACGGGTAGACGGAGCATTGCGGCACGTTACACGATGTCTCTAGAGCTCCGACTAACAAATTGGCATTTATTCATGTATACTTAGGCTGTAAAAGGATATCTAAGGGGATAGTCCTTCACCCGATAAACTTTTAATACTATTTAGATAGTATAGTGATTATTCAAAGTTACTACTAGTTTAAGTACGACTGGTCTGCTTAATTCTATAGTAATGATCGTTATATGACTAAATAGCTCTGTCTGATTTAGGAGGTAGCAGACCTATGGGGACCGCATAAAAAATATCCTAATCTGAGTAAGTAGGGTTCTGCCTTTTTAGGATAGCGGTCAATCGCCCCTGTTTAGTGACCAAGACTGACATGCTTGTGCTTAAGAAATTGTATACTCGGCCGGTACAAGATTCAGGATGTTATAGAGATCCCAATGAACGAGAATAACATAAAATGATGAACCGAAGAGAATATTCAATCATAATCTAAAATAATGTGAAAGGAAACAAAATAACCTTCTCAATGTTTTATAATTGGAGTCAGATAAAACGAGGATAAACATATTAATATTCTAAACCATCTCATACTAAAATTGGAGTCAGATATGAGTTAAGTTTAATATAAATCAACATTGTGCACTGGAAAGACCGAACATGCAGTGAACCTTCATCCACCATTGGATACCGTCATTGGACCAACTGGCTGGACCCTACACCTGAAAGCATTGAGTTGCTGCCATGTAATTGGCTAATTGGAAATTTGCGTTAACGAGCAGTTGGACAGGTGTATTTAATAAAGTGGCCGGTAAATGTACATATACTTTAGTCATATTTTTAAGTTTTTTCACTGTCGATCAACAAAGTCTAATTAATAATTCTGACATCAACTGTATATTAAATGTGGCCAAAAATGCATAAAGTTGTTAAGGTATTCAGTAGTATCTAACAGCAAAGTCAAATTAGCCACAATACTACACACAACATATAAGAAAATGTTCTGATCTCATTTGATTGAGCCTTAAAAGGTCTAGCTGAGTAGCACACACTAGGTTTCAGATCAGAACCGAAATATGCTTTAATTTTTTTTATTGGGTTTTAATGTCATTGTTGTGTTTGCAGTCGCTCCCACGCCAGTGACGACACCCAAAAGCTCCATCTTGTCTCCTAGTCTCCTGTCTGACCTACAAGGGCTCTCAATCTCTCCCACATCGGCCTTACAGGTGTGTTTGTGTTCTTCTGACTTTTTATGTTTTTGCAATGCTTCATTCTGATTGGTCACTGAGTCGTTTGTGCTGTAACGGATTAAAAAATCTCAGAGTTCGGATCACATTATGTTTGTTGAGTCACGAATCGGACTATTTTTCAGATCAGCAAAAAGAGCAGGAGACAAATGTAATTTGCTTTCCATCATTACTCTGTGGAGGCCATTTCATGTTTGTTTCCTTACCTTTACCTTATAACTTTATGCATGCATGCATGCTTGTATGTATGTATGTATGTATGCATGCATGCATGCATGCATGTATTTATTTATCTATCTATCTATCTATCTATCTATCTATCTATCTATCTATCTATCTATCTATCTATCTATCTATCTATCTATCTATCTATCTATCTATCTATCTATCTATCTGTTTATTCATTTGTTTATCTTTTTATCCATCCATCCATCCATCCATCCACGCGCGTGTGTGTGTGTGTGTGTGTGTGCGCGCGCGTGCGTGCGTGCGTGCGGGAGTGGGTGTGTGGGTGCTTGTGTGTATCCTTAGTAGTTTTTTTTTTTTTTTTTTTTTTTGTAAAGCTTTTCCCTTCCAGTCTTTTCCATGTTCTTGGTTTCTCTTTCTTGTTGTATTATAGATTTTTTTTGGATTCCGTTTTTATATTGGCTTCACTCTTTTTTTCTGCAGTGTGATAATCTGTGTGTGTCTGTGTATGTGTGTGCATGCCTACACTGTAAAAAATCCTGGTTGCCTTAAATTTTTACGCTGAATCAAATGAACCTTTTGAGTCTATTGAACTTATATTATGTTAAACTGCCTTAAAACAGCTTGCGTAACTTATAAAATTAGGTTAGAAGATGATTAACTTAATTTAATAAGTTACAATGACCTAAAAACATTTGCTGCCAGGACTAATTGTTCATATATATATATATATATATTTTTTTTTTACTGTGTGTGCGTGTGTGCTTGCGCGCGCGCGTGTGTGTGTGCGTGTGCGAGTGTGAGTGTGTTGTCAGTGTATGTGATTGTTGACCTTTGGCAGTGTGACGGCTCTTTCCTCTCTGGTGAGAGTCCAGTGTCAGGCAGAGACTGATGTGAGGAGAGAGAGAGACAGCGAGGGAGGGAGAGATGTCAGTGTGAGATGAATGAAGCATGTG